TTCATCCAGCTCCCAGTCCCCCACCTCCCTGGGTTCATCCAGCTCCCAGTCCCCCACCTCCCTGCCTGCCATGGATCACTCCAGGATGTCCCACGAATCTTGCAGGACTCACGGGAGGTTTTGGGCTGGAAGGGACCTCAAAGCTCATCTCATTTCAACCTTCCACTAGCCCAGGTTGCTCCAGGCCCTGCCCAGCCTGGCCTGGGACTTTTCCAGGGATGAGGTGTTAACAGCCTGGCATCCCAGTGGAGAGAGAAGAATGGGTTGGTCCCCTGCTGGCGTTGTCACCCCTTGTCCCCAGGGTGCCAGGTCCAGAGAGGGTCACAACGCCCTGACTCCCACCCACTCCTGGCTTGCCAGAGAGAGGGGAAATGACTCAATTACTGCCCAAAAGTGTCTTCACAGGAGAAAATACCGGCACTGAAGGACCCTTGGATACACGGGAGGGGAGTGGATGCGGCAGCTCGAGCCAGCCAGGCTCAAAGGAGGAGCAAGGCCCTTTTTCCTTAAGTTTTTTGCTTAAAATACGGATCCATTACAGATCGGAGCTAACTAACAAGGTGTGAGGGGTCTCTCCATCTTCTCCAGGTCTTTAGCTGGAGACTGGATGCCTTCAGGGAATTGATGCTTTAGCCAAGAGTGGCTTCTTGCCTTTGCAAGTGCCTTCTCCAGCTGTTTCCTCCCTTTTATCCTGCCTCTCTTCCCTTTGCTTCCCCTCTGCAGCAGGAAACGAAGGTGTGGAAATCCCATTCCCTTCCCTCCTTTTCTTGCTGTCATCCCACATCTCTGTCCCACATCCAGAGGCTGATGGAACATCTGGAGGGCCAGGAGCCAAGGATGGGAATTTTTTTCCCATGCTGCAAATCCTGCTTCCCTGGCTCCCCAACACTTGGGACAGAGACTCTCTGCCACACCACCAGTGCTCCCCTTTCTCCTTTGCCTCCACTCCAAGAACATGAGCCCAGAGATGCCCCAGCACCCGGAGAACATTAATGCCACTTTCCCAGCAATTCCAGTGGAGAAGGAAAACCCAGAAAAAAAAAAATACCTCTTAAAAAAAAAAAAAAAAAGCGCAAAATAAAATTCTCTTTTGAATCCCATCTGCACTGCTGGAGGGAACTAAGAAGCACAAGTTGTAAGAGCCTTGCTCTGGGTCACCTTCAGAAGAGGTGACCCACGGACGACACTGCCTTTGGATGCCTCGTCCCTGCTCCAAGGACTATTTTGGGTGTTTGAGCTCTGCTACGCTGCCCGAGTGCAAAGAACAAGCTCCTTTTCTCTCCCTGCCTGCAAAAATCATCCCCCCGGCGAACCGGAGCTGCTGCGAGCCGGGCACGGAGCTCAGAGCTTCCCCCACCTCGCAGGGAGGGGATTCTGCATCCCGGCTCTGGCTGCGGGCTCCGGGGAGTGCTGGAGAGGATGAAATCCCGAATTATTTCTTCACCTGGCACAAAACCTCGGCGCTGCCAGTAGTAACTGGCCAGGCCGATTAAGTGGCAGCCACCAGCCAATAAATAAATTGGAACCATCTCCAGACCTGATTAGCTTGCTAATTAAGCTCAGTTACGGGGAAATCTGCAGTCAATCAGCCCGGCCATTACCAGTTGGATCCGCAGAGCGGGAGATGGGGATGCTGCACCTCTGCTGGGAAGAGCAGGAGGAGGAGGAGGAGGAGGAGGAGGGGAGCGTGCTGGGGGTGGGGAGGAAGGTGGTGCCCAATCCGCTTTCCCCAGCAGCAGTCGGAGAGGCTCGTCCTTCCGGGGAATGCCCCACAGCTCCCCAAAACTGCAGAGCGCCTCCAAAGAAAAGGGTGAGAGCAGGGCTGGGGGGTGTGGTGGATTTTTTGGCCGGGACAGGCTGCTCCCCACGGGAATTTGCAGCTCTGTCCCTTCCCTCTGGCTCCCAGCTCGCAGGCAGCAGCTGGGGACCTCCAGGGGATGCTGAGGGACATCTTCATCCCGCACAGCAGCCACGGGGGTTCGCTCCCCTCTCGGGTCAAGGGAGGTCCGCCCTGCTCGGGCTGGCCCGAAGCTGAGCTGGGATTTCCAAGCCGGTGTCCATCCAGCGCTGGCAGCATTGCAGGATGAGATGTTTTGGCATTTGGGAACCCCTTTTCTCCCTCCTGCTGCCAGCGGGCATCAGGCAGGGAGCTTTTCTCTCCTTCTCATCCTTCCTCTGGCAGCTCGAGGCTGCTGCAGATCCCAGCCTTTCCTTCATCACATTCCCGGCCTTCGACTCCCACTAATCCTCCCAAATGACCCGAGTCGTTTGCTCCTGCACCTAAACGGCAACAAATGCCCATTTTTTTCCCTGCAGGAGGTGATCGGGAGAGTCTCTTCAGCCGAGCAACGAGCAGCCCTGGGTGGCAGCAGCACCAATTCCCGAAAGGCTGGAGCCAACTCCGGGGATTTTGTGCATCCCCTGGAAGCCCAAGGTCAATCCCTGAGCACCAGCAGAGCTCCGCGTCCCTCCCGCTGCCCGGAACGGCATCACCTCTCCTCTCCCGGCCTTCAGCGCTCCTCCTGCTCTCTCGGAGCCCAGGGAGCATCCCCGGCTCCAAACAAACCCATCGGGAGCCGGGAGATCGGTGCGGGCAGAACGCAAATAAATAAGTGCTAATTACTGGCGCTGGGCGTCAAATGGTTCCTGGCAGCGCATTTATTGGGCAATTAAAGGGCTTTACCGGGCATTAGGAGAGATCAATGACAGCCCGGTGGGATTCCCAGCCCGGTTTTCCCTCTGCGCTTGGAGTGGTTTCACCAGGAATGGTCACGGTTCCCTCCTGGTCCCTTCCGCAGGCTGTGCTCCGCCTTTAGGGTGGGCTTGGAGCACCCGAAAGGTCTTTCCCAGCCTAAATGGTGCTCCAGAGTCACGCTCTGGGCGTTGCCCAGGCGGGAATTGCGAGGTTTTATCATGGAAAAAGTGCAGCTCCTGCGGGTGTCACCTGCCCGAGATCCACCCCGGCAGCGGAGGGGAAGAGGCAGCGGGGATGGGCTCAAAGCAGCTCCGTGGGGGACGAGCCCCAATTTCCTCTCCCAGCTCGGGTAACGCCAAGTTCCAGCGGGAGGGATCCCTGCTCATGGAGGGGATAGGAAGAGGAGGAATTTCCAAGTCCCAAGCCAAGCCAAGCCATCCTATGGCCTGGATATGGGATGCTGTGGGTGCCCAGAGCTTTCCAGGGATTCTGGGCACCAGCCAAATTGGTGGAGGAGATGAAATCCACTGAGGATTGAGAAACTGATGGAAGAAAAATCCACTGAGGATTATTAAACTCACTGAAAACAGGTGACTCGGAAGTCCCTGAGTTTTCAAGTTCCAGGCTGGGGAAACCCATAGCAAACCCCCATGAAATCAGATTTCAGACACCTCCAGCTCTGGCTTTTGGCCACAGGTGGAGAAACAGAGATCTGGCTCTTTAAGGCCACTCTTACCTGACCTCCACGGAGCATGAAACGTTTTTGTTTAAAAACCAGGTGGATCGGGGTCTCTCCTGGTAAACAAAGCTGTTTATCAGGAAGCGTCAGCCCTATTGCACCACCTCTGAGCTTCCCGTCCTCATCCCATCGCTCCTCTAACACCAATTTGGATTTGTATTAAAAAACCAAATAAAAAGCAGCAGAAGTGCCCTGGGAATGCCCTGGATGAGGGCTAAAAGCAGGTGGTACCTATGGAGTGAGAATCTTCTGGGCTCTGGAGAAGCTTCCTTGAGCTGGTGCTCCCAGCATCCATCAGAGTGAATCCTTTGGAGGCAAGAGTGGAAATGCACAGCGAGGCCCTTATGGCAGAACAACAGTTTGGGCTCTTTAGGAATTACTTTTTCTCTTAAAAAAAAAAAAAAAAAAGGAAAAAAAAAAAGAAAAAAGGGGCTGTTTCCCCCACTCCCATTACGGGAATCAAGAGTTTTCCATCAGAACCTCCTCCTGACCCCCATTGCTTTGCCGCAGGATATTTTCTTTTTTCCCAAGGCATCAGTGAATGCCACCAGCTGGGAGCGTTTCAGGGGTACACAGGGGTGGGCTCGGGGTAAGGTGAGGAACGTGGGCATGAAAGACATCCTTAAATCTGCTCCACCATCCCTGAGCACCAGGATCTTCCAGGAGAAGCCAGATCTTAGGAGGGTTGTTAGGGAGAGAGAGCAGCCAGCCGTGCCCATCACAGAATCAAAACCCACATCCCTTCAGGAGAGCAAAGGAGGGGAGGGACGGATGGTTCCTAAAAAAAGGAGCACTACTACAGCTTAAAACCAAGGGGAATCCATGCCGAGTTCTCCCAGGCTGGAAGTTCACATTTCAAATCCAGAAGGGGAGAACACAAAGCACCACCTCCTGCCTCGGTGCTGGGGGGTTGGACGGGGTGGGGAAACCTTGCAGGAACAAAGGGCTGCAGATGCTGCGTGACAAACCAGCCCCGTCACCCCAAAAAAGGGGGGAAAAATGAACATCCACAAGCAGTCCTGTGGCTTTGCATCCCCCATGGTGCTGCTGGAGCCTCCCTGGAGCACATGGGAGGGAAGAGCAGGGAAAGAAACAGGAAAGTTCCCCCAAATCCCCGTGGGACAGGAGAGGTGGGAGGCTGGACGGGCAATGAGGGATGGACAGATTTAGGTGAAGGCACAGCAGGCTGAGAAGATAAATCCCAAACCCCCAGATCCCAGGCTGTGGCAGCTTCACTCAGACCACGAGGATACAGTTTCACCGTTCCAACCTTGGCCAGGTTTTCTCTGGAGCAGGATCTCCACTGATGCCCTCTGGGGCATCTTGTCCCTCCTGGGTAGCTTGGAGATCACCAGGACTGCATCAGGTGCAAGGTCAGAAAAAGAGTCAACCCCGATCTGCTGCTTCTCCCTCTTTTCGAGGGAAAACTCCCACTTTTCCCACCTTTCCTCATCTCTGAGCACCGCTAATTTCTCTGTGAGACAAGCACAGACTGGGCAAACCACAGCATTGGCTCTCTCTCTGTGCTGCCCATGTAGATCTTAAACGTCTCATTTCACTCTTCACACCAGGGCACCAGGGTTGTTTAAATCATCTTTAAATCACCATTTCCCCCCGTTCCAATGCACATTTATGGAATCTTACCTGCTGTTCTCCAAGGACCACACAGCTCTGCCAACATTATGTAATTTTTTCCTGCAGAGGTTTTTCCAGTGAGTTCCCAGTCTGCCCTGGTGAAAACCCATCACCTCCTGCTCCCCTCTCCATCACCTCCTGTTTGTCTTCTCCTTGACCCTGCTTAGATTCCTGATTTCTCCAGGGGTTGTATTCGGGACAGGACCTCTAAAACTATAAATAAATGTCAATCAGCTGCCCATTGTTCAGGGCTTTGAGGTGCTTCAGAGAAGCCTCATGGAGAGCCACCATTTCCCTCCAAAGTGATTAGGCCATGCCACATCCTGACCTTAGAGATGTTTTATTATTCTTACTTTAAATGATCATTTGGACCAATTTAGCAGATACAGATGTAACCGTTCCCAGCCTAATTCCTTGGATCCCCTCCAGAGAGTCTTAAAGCCAAGGTGCAACATTTACTGCTCCCTTCCTCGGGGAGAGTAACTGTTTTTAATGAAAGCTCCCATATTTTTGGCTGGAAGACTTGTCACTCACTCCACATGCACTTTCCGAACTCTTAGATATACACCCATTATGGCCCAGCTGACTTATTGCTTTTTAATTTATCAATTTGCACCATTACTGGCTCTTCTGACATCCCAGGTCCTGGACAATCCTTCATCTTTATTGCTGGCAAAGAGTGACAGGACCTGAGCAGCCACAGGAGGAGGAAGCAGGTGGGGCTCAGTGGAACCACGAAGACTCAGGCAAAGAACAAGCTGCGACCAACAAGTTTTCTTGTCTTTATTAGAAAGAGACCTATACAATATAGCAGCCTCTCTCTGCAGTACTTTACAGCTTTTTTGTTCCTTTTTTTTTTTTTGTCTTTATTAGAAAGAGACCTATACAATATAGCAGCCTCTCTCTGCAGTACTTTACAGCTTTTTTGTTCCTTTTTTTTTTTTAGTTTTTATTTTTATTTTAATTTTTCAGAATACTGTACAGCTGACACAAAAAATCTCGACGTGTAGAGAGACAGAGAGAGGAAAGGGGAACATAATACAAACTGGCATACTTAATCAAACCCAAATAATAGGAAACAACAAGCAAAGTGAAATGTTTGTCAATTGGTTTAATTACAGTACAAACAATATAAATAAAGCATCATTGAGTCATTGTAAAACAAACTTGCTGGATGAGGTAATATAAAAACAACAACAAAAGACCTTTTTTTGCCTTTTTTTTTTTTTTTTTTTTTTTAACAAAAGTTTAGGACATAATG